ATTTTTGTAAAAAAAATTTTTTATTATTCTAATGACTTAAATGCAAATGCAATTGTATAATAAATTAAGATTTACTAATTTTAAATAAATAATTATTATTTCCTGTGAGTGCTTATTTTGAGATACCTGTGTATTTATTATTTAAGTTGTATTACCTGAAGTATAAATATTTATATCTTAGTGTATTTGAAGCATTGGATATCATTGTGGATCATTAATCTTGGGAGTTGAATTATTAATTAATGATACCCATGTTTCATTTCCATTACTACTTACAGCAGTATTCTTTGTATAGCGATACAAATAATTACCTTTAGGTGCAATGCATGTCAAATTAACAAATATCAAACTAGACATTATGAATAATGGTGTTAACTTATATAAAACATTGTATCAATGTTTAAAGCTTAAACATAAATATAGAAAAAGCATACAGGATTGATGAAGTGAATTACCTATGTTAACAGTCTTGTACCTAACAAACCTACCAAAATATACAAATAAAAACCATTATTTTTATTATTAATTATTGCTCAATTGTAAATTAAAAAGTTAGGTATATTATTGTTTTATTTAAAATTGTAAGATCTATTTAAGTATAATAATAGTTTCTCCTAATCCATACATTTTAAGAATTATGTTGTATTTGTCTTATATATTTGTATACTTATAATTATTATTAAAGTTCATGTCATACCTATCTAATACTTAAAATTATTTAATTTTTTTTCCAGCCCCGAAAGAAAATGACAGTCGTCCTTGAACAAGGTATATTACAAGGACTTCGTTACAAAACACGATTATCAAATAAATCATATGTCAGTTTTCTAGGCATACCCTATGCTTTACCACCAATTAAAGATTTACGATTCAAGGTGAGATTTTTAATAGCATATACCTAATTCCAACAATATATCAAATTTATAAATTAGGTATCTACTTTTAACTAAAATGATACCTAATATTTAAAAAATATTATGAACATGTTATTAGGTATATCTCACTCCAAAATTGGTAGGTAAAAATTTTATTGTCAGTTCATTAAAACTGATACGTTACAATATTTTGAATATAATTTCATTAGTATAACAATATTATATTATTGTACCAAATTTAATTTTTTAATTTTGTTTTAGCCTCCTGTCAAACATCCAGGATGGTCTGGCATTTATAAAGCGTTTTCATGTGGTAAAGTATGTATGCAGTTTGATGTTTTTATGACCAAAAAAATTATTGGAAGTGAAGATTGTTTGTATTTAAACATATTTGTTCCACAGGTTGTAAAAACATTTGTTATATTGTATAGCTTATTGGGTAATAATTGTTTCATTGTAATTTATTAGGAGGAAATTATTGAAAAAAAAGCTGTTATGGTATTCATACATGGAGGTGCATTTAATTATGGATCTGGATCGTTAGATTTTTACTCTCCTGATTATTTATTGGATGAAAATGTAATTGTTGTAACAATCAATTATCGCTTAAATGTCCTAGGTAAATCTACAAAATCTAATTTAATAGTATTAATTCATTACTATTGTAGTATAAACATTTTAATTTGTATAAGTATTTAACAAGTTTTGAATAAAATTGAACACAGGTTTTGTCCTTAGGATTTCTAAACTTTGGAATTGATGAATGCCCTGGTAATATGGGCTTAAAAGATCAACTGTTTGCATTTAAATGGATAAAAGCTAATATAGCAGCATTTGGAGGTGATGCCAACAATATTACCATTTTTGGAGAAAGTGCAGGATCTGCTTCTGTTCATTGTCATTTACTTTCTCCACTATCCACAGGTTAGTGTTTAATTTATTTACTGTACTGCTGTGTACCATACTTCAATGAACAGCAGTCTAGTCTATAAATCAGAATACAATTCAAATACATTTTTTAACTTTTAGGTGTTATAATTATTTTAAGAATTAAGCACTTAATTTGTTCAACTTACCTTAAAAATTTAATGATAGAAATGATTCAAAAAAATTATTAGTAATTATTATTCGAATCTAAATTTTTTTAACCCTAATAAGTAAAACAAATAATTATTTAATCTCCGTTAACTTTCAACAAACCAAAATCTTATGAAAACCCTAAAAAAAATCTTTAAATAAAGAAATTATGATTTTTAGAAATCAAATTACATGTAATATTATGCGTTAATTATAAGTTATAACATAAGCTCTTAGGTCTTAAATGATTTCTTAACTTTTTAGAATTCAATAATTATTTGTTTGAAATTGAAGTCTATAATAGAACAAAAATAAAATACTTTTTATGTTATTACATTTTAATTTAATTTATATTATTTTAATGGTCATCAAAAAATATGATTATAAATTTTATTGGAAATGAAAAATAAATTTTTTATTAATATTTAATTGAATTGAATTTTTTATTTTAAAAACCAATAATAAAGCTATTCTAAGGTTTTGTGCAAATACATTTAATGGTACTGAATTAAAATCACTATGACAATAATGACTATTTTTATTTTTATCATCATTATTATTTTAGGATCATTTGACAAAGCTATAATGCAAAGTGGATGTATTTTTAATCCATGGGCTTTTAATGAAAGACACAAGGAAGTAGCCTTTAAGTTGGCTGAAAAATTGGGATGCCAAAAAGATGATCCTAAAGAAATAGTAAAATATTTACAAAATATTCCGGCAATCGATTTAGTTAAATGTACAACTTTAAAGTTCAAAATTGAAGTAAGTATAATACATAAAATATTATCTAATAATCTATAATACAATAAACATGTGTAATGTGTGTAAATACAATCATTGAAAGCAAGATATACATTATTTAATTTACTTATTGGGCTTTTATACCTCTCAATTCAATACTTTGCAAATGAAAACTGAAGAAAACTGCTATAGACCACTAAATTAAAAATTCTAATCATAAAACAATCTTTTTTTTTCAATTTTATGAATTTTTATTATATTATAAATTTTATTTCTTTAAAAACTCAAATATTATTGATAAAAATATAAATTTATTTAGGTAATTTTAGTTTAAAAAAATAATTTTTTTAAAGAATTTTAATAATTGTTTTGTTTTATTTAATTTTAAAAGGGCCAAAGAGATTTGCTCAATTTTCAGTTTGTTCCAACTGTGGAAAGCGAAGCCGTAAGTGACAGACTTTTACCTGCTCATCCAAACATTTTAATCAAATCAGCATCATCAGTACCTTTGATTTCTGGAGTTAACAATATGGAAGGAATGATAATATTTGGAGGCAAATTATTTTTTAATTATATTATCAAATCAATGGCAATATTTTTTAACCAAAAAAATTTATAAATACACGTAATTTTGGTTAAATTTTATATACAATTATAATATTAGGGTCACTAAATTTTTTTACATTTTAATTCATAAACAATCGCTAAACATTTAATTAATCTTTATTAATCAATAGAGGGATAATGGTCCCTTAAACATGATTTATTGGCTCATGATTAGTTGGTTAATTTTTAGTTAACCATTAAAATAAGTCAATTTTTCGTGTAACTTGGTATTCAACAGTTAGTATTCTAGGAAAATATGAAATATTCTGTTTTTTTTTAATTGAGTAAAAACTTCCTTATTAATCAAAATAGGTATAGCCAAAAAACAGTTTTAAATATTATAGAAGATGATTACTGTTACTGTTTTTTTCCCGTTTAAAATTTAAGCTGATAGTATATATTTTGTTTTTTGTATTGATCTTAAAATATATATAAACTAATTTTTTTTTATAGCCATTAAAATAAAAATGTGAATCTTTATTAAACATAATTAATAGTTATTACATTTTTGTTTTCAGAACACAAATTGGGAAGGTTATTCAATTATCACAAATTAGAAGAAATCAGTAAACTATTTGACAATGATTACAGTGAAGAAGTTATTCAAAGAGTAAAGAACTTTTATTTCAACGAACATGAGCAATCTAGTGATTTAACTAAATTGGAAAATACGTGTCGTGTAAGTAAGCTTTACTTTTTTTAATATTTCCCATTGAACACCAGTTTTATTTATAAACCTAGATTTATGGAATATATTCTATTTGATATTTGTATGTTTTATAAGCTAATGGAATTAATTATACGTTTTTTCCAGTTGTTTAGCGATGTATTTTTTACCAAAGACTTTTATCGTGGCTTTAATGATTTGCTTAAAAAAGATAGAGCGCCAATTTACAACTATGAATTCAAATTCGATGGAGAACTTAATGCTTGCAAAAAACTCTTATTCGCTACACGGCCAATATTTCATTTGTTAAAAGGTACTGGTTATTTGTTTAATTATTTTAAGATTTTTACTGGATGAATTTATTAATTTTTAAAATTAACTAAGGTTAGTGTAATGATAAAATCCACAGGTGCATGCCACGCAGATGAATTAAATTATTTGTTTTACGGACAATTATTTGGATTCTTGCCCAAAACTAATACACCAGAATATAGAATGTGCAAAACAATGAGTAAGCTGTGGTGCAATTTTGCAAAAACTGGGTATGTAAAATAAATGAACTCATTGCATAAATGATTAAATCCTGCTTAGTTAATACATATATAATATTGGTTCATTTTAATTGTCAGGGGGCAATGTTTTATTAACAAGTTTGATCTGTTTTGATTTTAGAAATCCAAATTCAATAAATTCAAATGTTGTATGGAATAATGCTAACGTGGACAATCCAAAATATTTATCAATAGACGGCGATAACACACAAATGGTTGATGGTGTAATAAATACTTCCAGCGTAAAATTTTGGGAAAACATATTTGAAATAATTCAATTGAAACAAAAACTGTGATTTTTCATACTTTATAATGAACATGTAACTCAAGATAAACTTACAATTATCTTATAAAAATTGTAGTTTTTAACATCAAAAATATATTATACATGGTTTTCATTTTTAAATTTACTTTTATTATTGACTAAATTGTTTATGCTGTTGATGTATTTTTTTTGTATATATTATAATAAATATATATCCTATTTATACATAAATTAATTTTTAACGCATACCTAATTCATACTTAATTAATATTTACAATATACATTAATATCCTCCACTTCCACCACTTCCTGTGCCACTGTAATTGTACGATCCCCATGTCTGATTGTAGTTTGTCGCTTGCGGGTAGCTCCAATTTTGATATTGATATGAATAATCTTGTCCAGTGGGAGCGTACTGTTGATAAGCTGCTTGGTTGTATCCAGTGGCATATTGTTGTGGGTAATATCCGGTCGAATTGTACGGCTGGTAGTTAGTAGATGCTATTTGAGAATTTGAAGATGCTGCAATATCTTGTGCCTGTTTCACTTTCATTTCTTTTTCAACTCTAGATTTTTCTTCCTCAACTGCAGCCAATGCTTTTTTCTTCTCTTTAGCAAGCAACTCTGTATAACTCTTAAACTCGTTGGTGGCTTTGCGCAATGATGTATAATCACAAGTATAATCCTCAATAAATTCCAATTTACGTTGAGAAAACAATATTTTTTGCTCTAAATTTACACTGCTCATTGATAATATTTCATCAAATATTTGGATAACTGATTTTTCATTTAACGGCTTTACACTCATTTTAAGCTCGATGAGTTGCAACAATAGTCTAGCATTGTCTTGCATATTGTCTTTGTCTTTGTTTATGATATCTGCAATCAATTCAATAGCTTTATCGATTTTATTTGCACACTTCCAAAGAAAACGTGCATATTTTATGGCAATATTAGAGGTAAGAAACTTTGTATGAGAAGTATTTATATAATGTTCATACAATTCACATACTTTATCAAATTGGTATCTACGTTTCTCCAAATTAATACGCCTGTAAATAATTTGCAACATATGTGGAACAGAGTCATCAAGGTTTTTCAGAATATCAGCAGCTTTGTCTAAGTTACCTTTGCTTTCTTCAAAAGCTGACCATTTCAAATGTAACTCTGGAGACTTACGATGGTGAACTAAACAGGCGCGCAAATATAAGCTTTCTAATAAATCACTTACATCAAAATTTAAAGATTCTAAATAGTCCAAATAACTCAACCAAAAATCTTCATACAAAGCACATGGTATTAAACATCTTTCATACAAAATAACAATACGTTGATGGTCGCCGGCTTCCTTCTCTAATTCAATATAATTTTTCCAATTTTCTATCTGACATTTTTCTAAAGGTTTCACATGGAAATAGGGTCTTTTAATACCTTCTTCGAATGCTTGGCGCTTGGCTATTTCTTTAGCTGTTTCCTTATTAATTTTTTGTTTTGATTCAATGATAGTTTCTTTTAACAATGCTAATTCTTTTTCTGATACATCAGATAAAAAAGTGTTTTCTTCTTCACCTGGTGGTGCAGAATCATCAGTCAACAGTTCACCACTTCCACTCAGCCTAATTCTTTCAGCTACTTGCTGTCTTAATTCAAGATATTCCTTAGCATTTAAAATCTTATCAGGTGCATTCTTGTTTACAAAATCTTTAAAATTTTCAAAATGTTGCAAATAGCCCAATGTTTGTGTAGCAAGAAGACGATTGTATATGTTGAAAGCATTGATTAACTTATTTTGTTCAATTTCCCACCTAATATAATGATCCCATAACCGATCTGAGCGATATTCAAGTCCACACATTTCCAAGCCTTTCTCAAAGTTGTTACGGATAAGATCCACATTATCTGCATGTTGTGTTTTTAGGTATGTCATGTAATGAATCCATAAATCAACACTGAGTGGTATGGCCTTTAAGCCACGTTGAAAGACTATTTCACATTCCTCTTTATTGTTATTTCTTTTCTCAAAATCAGCAAATTTTCTCCAATAGCCGTAACAGTATGGGTACAATTCCAAGAATTTATCATATGCTTCTCTTGCGTTTTCAGCATTATTCTCTTGATCAACAAATTGTAGCAGATAAGTCCATCCAGCAAAGTCTGAAGGATCGTCTTTAACAGCTTGCCAAAACTTATCAAGTTCAGTAATTGGTTTTACTTCTTCAGTTTTGATTTTTTTTGCAGGCTGTGATTCATTATCATCTTCTTTTTCCTCAGGAATTTGAAACCTTTTTGTTTTGGATGTACCATTTTCACTAGGCAGCTCTTCATCAGATACTATTTCAGTTTGATCAGCTAAAGCGGTAGGTGGTAATTCATCTTCAGACACAGCTTCAGTATCAACAGGCATATTGTCAACTGGCATTTCATCTTCTGATATCACCTCTGTTTCGGGTTCTTTGGGTTCTTCTTTAAGTGTCATAATTATTGGAGTATCTTTAATATCATGTTTAACTACAACTTCACTAGTTTCATCTTTATCACAAATATCATCAGTAATATCTATAATTTCAGTCTTGGGCAAGATAATCTGACAATCGTCTGAGTCTTTATTATTATCAAATCCATCACTTGGCTTTTGTAATTTATTACTTATCATTTTTATAGACATTGTCGGAGGAGCAGTTATTATAACCTTTGGTGGTTCAGTATCGTCTAACTCTGGAACATTATCATTGATTTTACCATTTTCTTTAGACTTTTCATTTTTTAACAAAATGTCATCGTGGTCAGCCATAGTTCAAAATTTTCTGAAAAATCAAAAAAAAAAATGAATTATTTTATTTAAATATTGTTTAATAAAACACAGTGTGCTCAAACTCAATATTATTAAACTAAACCTATTCTATATGTTAATAAATATGTAAAATAAATTAATATAATTCTAAAAACATTAAACTTTCATTAATAAGTATCTACATTTTGAAATGTGATTATTAAATTACTTAAAAAAATTAAAGTTAATTTTAAACATATAGATATAAAAGTACGAAATAAGTAAATAAAATATAAAATGTTAAGACAATTAATATTCTTAATTTCAAGATCACTTATTATGCAGGTGTCCATTCATTCAACATTGATAAACTTCGATAAACATCAAAAAATTTTACTGCTTGATACAATAAAATTTTTGTTTAATTTATATTTACCGAACAACAACAATAAACAACAACCAGTTACGAAAATAATACTATAATTAAGTAGTTACCTAGAATTTTGATTTTAAAAAATAGATCTAATAAGTTTTCATCGTAAACGCGATCAACCACCGAAGCGATGCGATAAGATTGAGTTTGAATAAATAATGTTAAATATTATGCTTCCGACGAAATCGTACACAAGACTCAAAACTAAAAACTAACAGTACACTACAGAATACAGAGAACGGACTACGGAAAAGAACGCCAAGAATTAAGAATAATATTAATTATGAATGATATCATTATCAGCATTTATCAGTAAAATGTTATGTTTTACCTAATCAATTGTTATTATTGTGACATTTTGTCGCTACGGGATACGACATCAGTACCAACTATTTATATACAAATTATTTTTAAATTTTTTGTTTCCAATTAATTATATAGTCGTAAACTTCAATCTATCCATAAATTAAATCATTAAGATCAAAATTAATCAGTTAATTATAATTTATAAATAATCTAATTAATGAATAGAGAATTATTTAAATTAATATTATACAATATACAGTAACAACTAGCAAATATGTAACACTATGTATTCTGTGGTAAAGATTCAAGTACCTACTACCTACCTACCTTACTTGTATTATTCTGCATACATAATCTTAAGATTCGCACAGTTGTATATTCAAGATTGCTTATAATAAATAAATTCTCAACATTGTGATCATTGGTGTTAAGTGCAAGTATATCAAATGGACGAAATAATAACTTTGAGACATGAATGAATGTATACACTTATAAATTTAGGCATTTAGCTACGCCTAGAAGGTAGAGTCTATTAATAGTATTAATATGGATGAGAAGTGAGAACTGAGAGGAGTTGTTGAAGTAGGCCGAGTAAGGTTACCTTATACGCCAAACATTATTAATTACCAAAAACTGTTACAACAAATTTAAAAATCAATATAATTTTTAAATTTTTAGCGTTGAACCAAAATTTTTCATTTCGTTTTTTTTTTTTGTATTAAAATATGGTCACTCTATGATGAGCCTAAAGGTATGTAGGTTGGCACCGATTTTTTAAAATTATTATTTTAGATACCTTATACCTATTCACGTAAAAAAACAAACTGGGTACAAATAATTGTTTTTATTCTCAAGAATTATTGAATTTTCTTTAATGGATGATTCTAGAACGCTACACAATGATGCTGATGATAGTTATAGTGTTTTTTCCCCATGTAAATTCCGCAACAACAGTTGTATTATTAAATTGTGTAAGCATTAACTATTAAAATTCGTGTTCTATCTACAGTCTTATTAAATATTTGAGTAAAAGCACTTTAATAGTGTATTTATGTATAATAACGTACCTATTTAATAGGTACTAACAATAAAATGCATTTAGTATTTGGAAAGTATTTTAAATTTAAACTCAATATTAAACGTGTTATTATTATTTAAAAAAATTTACTTTAATAAATTCAAAAATATTATTTATTGAATTTCAAATTATTTCTCAACAGTTATTGTCAATATTATTTTATTTATAAGTTATAAAATCAAATAATTAATTATTTATTTATTTTATATTTTATTAATAAACGTTTATTATTTGATTAAAATCCAAATTTGTTATGATTAAAATAACACAAATATTTATTTTTCAATATAAAATTAAGTAGTTAGTTCAGAGTTCTAACGACAGGTACTTAAATGCGGACTTACAGCTTTAAATTAACTATATGACTATAATTACAAAATTAATTTTCTTGTCGACTTGTAAAATTAAAATTAGTTAGATAAAAAAAATGATAAGGAATATTTTTTAAATACTTTTTGAATAAATTAATTGTTACTATAATTTTAAAAGAATATTTTACAACTTTACAAACTAATATTTAACTTAACTACATAGGTACTTACTGACTACTATAATATTTATAGATTATACTACTATAGTCATTATTTCATAGCAGAAAATATTACGAATTGTATAAATAAAAATACATATTAAACAATTATTGGAAACTATTGAATTTTCATTAGTATTTAGTAATGGTCCAACGGTTTCACCACGACCACTACCACAGTCCATGATTTCGGGAAAAGTGCTCGATGCCCATCCAATATCCGTAAGTACGAATTTGTTATCACAACTCTAGCTGTAATCTTACATTTTCATATAATTATTTGTATTCGTTGTGTTCTACTGTTCTAGAAAATTCTAAGAATCTATGTACAATTATTGCTGTAGTGTACTAGTTAATGTTTTTATTTATTACTTTAAGTTAATAAATGTAAATATTCTCTTAGGATTGAGGCTGTAATTAATGTGATTATATTTTTCCTTTTCTAATCTATACATTATATCAGTTGCGGCCGAAGAAAATATTTTCATTGCATTTAATTAGACTACGTACTTAATTGTAAGAATTCAGTTATTATCTATATATATGTATATGAAAACTGACTTTAAAAATCTTATTTAATAGGTATAAACTAAGAAAAATATTCAAACTTTTCACTTATACAAAAACAATTTATTTATATTCAGCGCATTATATAATCATAAGCACTGCGATAAAACATTTTCTAAAAAATAATTTACTTCTATTATTTCCTTTTATCAAAGAAATAAATAATAATTTATCAAAGAAAATCATCTTAAGAGGACACATCAGTATATTGCATATATTATTTTCTATCTTACACACATAACATAGTTAAAACTTCTCTACAATGTTATCTATTATAATAATTATTTAATAATACATTATCTGTTTGTCTTAGGCTTTGTTTAATTTTAATTTTGAAAAAAGTACTTAAGAATTGTAAATGTATAAAATTAAATAAATTATATAGGTACAAAAATAACTCATTAAAAAAATCAATATATTAAAAAAAAACTTCTTACAAAATACAAGATAATAATATTCTTGATAATTATTATAACAATAACTTAATTTTAATTATAATATCACGATGATGAATAAGTGATGTATGAAAAATAGTTTTTACTTTATTTTAAGTGCATAAGACATACATTTTTTCAGTAATTCCCACTACTATTAAATGCGAGTTATGATTTAATATATTTGTATTTATTGTTAAAACAAAAAAATACCTACTATGCAATCATTAATTGATTTACAGGAATCAGTTTAATGTTTCCAAATTCCAACTAATATTATAATAAATAAATATTTGAAATTAAATTTATTAAAATATATTTTAAATCACTTTAATTAAAACTTATAATTTATAATATCTAATTATTTATTTCGATTTTAGTATTTATGATGGCTTCTAGCGCAAACGAAGAAAATAAAGTTGTCATAAAGAAAGATTGGTATCAAACAGAGAGTCAAGTGACCATAAGCGTTTTGGGTAAACATACATCAAAAGAAGACTGTCATGTACAATTTGAGAAAAATGAAGTGAATATTCAAGCCAAATTTGCCTCTGGTCAACCCTACAATATTAATTTGAAACTTAGCAAAAATATTGCACCTGAATTAAGTAGCTTCAGAGTTCTCTCGTCGAAATTGGAGTTACGCCTTGCAAAGGTTGAAGGGATAATGTGGGATGTGCTAGAGAATACTGTTGACAAAACAACTAAGTCTGCTGTCGTACCTCGCAATTGGGATAAGGTTGTCAATGATATGACAAAAGATGAAGACGATAGTGATGTAAACACTTTATTCAAGAAAATTTATTCAGATGGTTCAGACGAAGTGCGCAAAGCTATGAACAAATCATTTTTGGAATCAGGAGGCACTGTTTTAAGTACCAACTGGAAAGATGTTGCCCAAGAAAAAGTAGATATTAAACCTCCAGAAGGTATGGAGTGGAAGAAATGGGATGAATAAATTAATTTGTACATACTACTACGTTTATTTAAGTGTTTATCTTTCTTTAAAAATTATAAAATAATACGATAAAAAAAAAAAAAAAAAAAAATGGTTTTTTAACTAAGCATACCTTTTGCAAATTATTGTTGTATTATTCATACATTATAAAATTGCATTTTCATGTGAACAAATCATGTTTTAATTTATTCATTTTTAGTATTGATCTTAATAGTTTTTATAGTCCTTTTTTTCTTAAAACATATTTAAAATTAAACAAAGATGAAAATTCAAAATATTTGTTAATTATTGTATATTTGAATCCTATAAAATTAGACATCTTATCAAGAAATAATTCATATTTGGCAAAGGTAATGCTAAATATGTGATACAATTTTTATGATTAAACTTATAGATAGAATAAATATTTTTGTGGAAATATTGAGCATAATGTAAGGCAGGCCGTATCTGATGGGGGATAAAAAGTCTAGACCCCCCCCCCCCCCATGAACATTTTTTTATAATATCAACATAACGGACTAAATTTAAAATTTATCAAATTGATTATTGTTTTGTAACATAATGATAATATTAAAATATTATTTTAGCATCTAACAACAGATTTTTATTGATTGATAACAACTGCTATTGATTCCAGTCATCAGAGATTAATTACAACAATATTTTACTTCTGTAAATAAAAAATATTTTAATTATAAACTTTTACCCGCTAGATAATAACATTAATAACAAACACGCCAAATTGTTTGATTAATTTTGTCATAATGAGTGAACAAAATAACAAAAATGTACTATTAAATTATTTTTCTATATTATGTATGTTACTATATTAATAATTTAACATTGTTTTAAATCAAGTATCAAAACTTAAACATAGAAAATATACTTTATACATTATAATGGTTTAAGACTCTGAAAAAATTTCTGGATATGGCCTTAAAATAAGGTCTTGAAAGTTGATGATTTAAAAGAGTTAAAATATATGTATGCTTATAAATTATAATGCTCTCAATAAACTTAAAAACCAGTATAACTATAATAAATAATACTTTTCATATATTAATTGCTTTAATTTTATTAGCCAAATGTTCATATAAAATAATTAAATAAAATTAATGATATAATTTTATTTTTACATAAAAAAAACTATAAATTCATTCCTTTACTGTTTAAAAAGTAAAAAAAAATGTCAAATAGTTTTGATATAGTAAAACTATTTAAAAATCATTAATAATCAGACTATAGTAGGATGCAGGCGGTGGTGAACTTATGGCATGTATCATGTAAGGAAAAATAGCACATAAAACATTTTCATCTAAATAATTTCTATTCATTGTTTGATTTTGCGTTAGGTGACAAAAAATAATGAACAAAATAATTTATTATTTAAAAAAAATTGGTTCATTTCAAATAAATAAAATCATAAAGCCATTATGCAGGTAATAGGTACACCTAATATATTAAAGTTTATTTTGACTATTTCAAATCAAAAATACAGATAAATAGTATTGAATAAATCGTGAATCTGATGTTTATTTTAACTAAAACATCTAAAAGTTATAAAATACACATCTGATATTAAACTGAACTTTATGAAGACCTCTCCCCTCTCAGTTGGAAAAATTTCTTATAGATGCTTCTAAACATACATTACTGGTACATGAATAATTTTCAAAACTGATTACATTTTGATATAATGATATGTAACCCAAAAAAGAATTACTGCTCTTAATAAAAATGACTAACATAATATTCAATCATATTTTTTTAAATAATCTAATACACATATTTTAGACAAATAATTAATACATTTTGAAGAATGTGAAGTTACAAATTTAAAAAATATTTGAGACATTGTATGGTAATAAATTGTTATTGATGGACAAATCCACTAACAATACTGGTCAATAACAACTATAGCATATATTTTTGAAAAATAATATGGTGAAGACCACCATATAGTAAATAAAAATAAAAATAAAATTGTCTATATAATAAGTGCCAATCTTTTATTTGAGATTTTAAGCTATCTAATTGACAATTTTTTAATATATTACTAACAGCTTGTTTAAAGTTTTCATTCCTAAACTTTCATTAAAATTTAGAGTTTATGTAGATTTCATAATACGTACGATTATAAAAAATGAATGAATAGAATAGTGAAGTAATTTTGTACTTCTAAATTATTCAAATGGAATAATTTTTAAAATAGCCTACGGAACAACCTAATATTATTATAATTATTTCAGAATTTGTATAAAACAGAAACATTTTTTTAAATTTAAATTGTTTATATTTAAAAGAGCGAAACATAGGCATCAAATTTTTTAGAGGGTTATAGCCCTCCTAGAAATAGACATATACTGAACATATATGTATAAAATAATTATTTAATAACAAAATGTGGGTGTCAAAAATATTTTTGTTTATTTTATGTTTTTCCGCTTATTAAAGGTATGTATGATTTACAGGATCAAAAAAAAGCTTTCCATTTTATTAAGGATTTAATCCTATATTTAATTATAAAAATCTGCTGAGACCATAATAAATTTCCGCAAGGAATAGGATTTCATCTTAATAAGCGTCAGTACAAGACAGCTGTTACTGCTGTACTTGTAATGCATCTCATAAAATTATACCATTAGAATAATAGGTTTAAAATTTTGTTTCTTGATTTTAAATTTTATTTATTATAAAAAAATAGTAAATCTAAAACATGTGTTGACACATGAGATAATATCATTTTTATACCTCATAGCTAACAATAAATTATTTAGTGAATTAAGTAATTATCAAATTGTCTATTATCAAATTTCAAGAAGATTCAATTCTAACTGAGTAGAGTATCAACAGTTGGTAATATAAAATATAGTTACCAAGTTACATAATTTTATTTAGAGTTAATAAAAAAAAAATTATCCAAGTTAATTATTGATAATTTTAGAATGACATAAATACTAAATATTAAAAAAAACTACAATTTGATTATTGTTGTACCTAAATTTTCTAGAGCTAGATTCGAGAAAAGAAAAATATAAGCGAGTAGAAATAAATTGAACAGAGTGATTATTTCAACTTTGAAATTAATGTGGTCTTTATTTAAAAAATTAAAAATTGAATCACACATTAGTACAAACGTTGTGGGGGTCCCATTGTTGACTTGATGTGCAGCGACCTAACATTTTGCCAATGTTTCTTCAACAATGAAACTAAGAAATTGATTGAAAGATGGATGTTGTGGGCCAATTCATCAGCTTTCATGTCAACATGGCCAACAGCAACACACAGACACAATACCTAAAAATAAATGTCAACATTATTAACCAATGATATTAATCAATGTAGAAATAGAAGGGATTGCTTACCTTTTTCATTTGGAACTTGATGGTGGCTTTAACTTCATCGATTTTCATGTTCATTGATTCTTGATGGGACAAAAGACCAGGAAACTTACCAGCTTTGTTTAAACCTGGTCCTAACAAACGTGGGATCTGTTTGATAAGAGCTTCGCTGGCTAAGAACGCATCATATCGTTTGGCCAATTTCTTTACTAACTTCTTATTCTTGTTGAGTTTTTTCAAGGCTTCAACATCCATGAATGGCACCTTATTTACCTAAAACACAAATGTACGTGTTAAACTTAATTACAACTTGACAAGCATCCACATTTAAAACGTGATTTATTATTATAGCCTCAATCAATTAGCAGTAGTAGTGAAAACATTTACCTCGGCTTCATCACAATGCTGTTGGTCACCAAGAATGCACACCTTCATCTTGGGCCTAGGGATGTGCTTCAATTTAATGGTTCCGGAGAAACGCTTATCCTTTTGTGGATCGTAGTTCTTAAGACCAATTTGCAATTCGACCGTTTGCAAAAAGTTTTTCTTGTGTGTCTTGGCCTGGCTCAACACCTCGTTGACGGCCTCATACAATGTATCTTTAGATACTTTCGACGACATGTTGTGATTGTATAGTAACGTTCACTGTGACAAAATCCAATAACAGTTATTTAAAACGTGGACACCAGAAAACCACATTTGAGAAAATATGCCAGATGTACTTACCCAAAAGACACGAGTGAGAAAATGAACGCGATACACTTCCGAAAAGAAATTTTAGGTTATGGTGCATCTAGCGTTTTAATTCTTTCATCTACGAAATCACAACACAATGTTGGTAACCTGGTAAGCACATACTAGGACCGTGTTTTACTTCTACTGTGTTTTACCAAATAGATAAACTGATAATAAAAATGATAACTTAATGATAATAATTTTTAAATTAAAATACTAGATAGTAGATACTAAATAGTAAATAATAAATAATAAATAGTATCATGATTCATGGTATAAGTAAATTCTATTTAATATTAATACTAAATAGTAAATAATAAATTGTCAAGTCAATAAGTATTATGATTGTTAAGAATTTCTGAATCATTCAAGTCTTCAACAATAGATCTTTAACCCTAAACCAATTTAGTGCATTAGGACCACAGGGGAAACGTTAATAATTGCATTTGCTTTTACAAAAAAAAAAAAAAAATCTGTACACAGAAATAACAAATAAAATTATCATTCCCACAATGTTTGACGTGGTTTGCACTACAGCAAATGGGGGAATTCCAATATTTTACCGAAAAAATAGTAAAATGGATTCTGTAAGTTATTAAGCATGAAAATCATCTATAGTTCACTGTTTTATCATACTATGATGATAATTATTTGAATTTTGCAAAAAGCCATACTTGATATTTGTATAATACATTTAAATTGTTCAAAATATTGTTTGCTTACTAAAAACATAGATTTAAAACAAAAATGTAATTTAAATCTTTTCAAGATTTTTGGGTACTTAAATAATTTTAAATTTAAAAATTTTTAATTTTGTTTTGATTTGTGTGTTTAAAATAACATGGCTTACAAAAGTGTGTATTTTTTCAGGTACCATTTACTACATTTTCAACATTGAATGCTGTTATAACATTTGCAGATGTTCAAAATGTTAAATTTAAAGTTATTCATACAGATAAACATTCCTTTATTTGGCATGCCATTGGAGATAGGTATATTATTATATTATAAATTCTATAGCATTAAGTATTTGTTGATATTTTGTTGAATTATTCTTACAAATTTAAATACAAATAGCATTGTATATACATAATAAGTTTGTCAATATTTATATTAATTTTCATCAAATTTTTCAGTTTAATTTTGGCAGGCATTAGCGATTTGAACAATTCTACAATAAAAACTGGTTTAGAACTGATATCTACTTTAATAAAGATGATTATTGGAGATGAAAACATATACAATAAGAATGCAGATAGAATAAAACGGGAAATAAAAGTATGCACCAAGCCATTAACTTTAATAGTTACCTAATTGATCGAATTGTATAGCTTTAAATATAATGTCTAATTATTGTTTAGCCATGTTTACCTATTATTGATTATATATTGAGGAGCTTAACATCAGTAACGATAGAAAAACATTTAATAAACATAATTGAAACACAGTCAATAAAGGATAATAAAGCAATAAACGTAACTATAAACTTTTTAAAATAAATTAAAATTCTGTTTAATTTTTTCTAAATTTACAGAATTGTTTATACAATTGGTCAGAAACAATCTGTAGTGATCTTTGTTGGGTTATTGTGGATAAGAAATTGAGTGCTGCAACAAAGGATTGGTGGGATTTACATATTAATGATAGAAAGTTATTAATAACAATTATTTTGGCCAATTGTTATGACCAAATTACTTCAGCTGATATTCCAATTTTCTTGCCTCATTCTAGTACTAAGGTAAATCAATGTATTTGTTATATAAAACCTATATTATGTAAAGACTTCTTTAAAAGGGTTTTGAAAGAAGTAAATATTTTATATCTAAAAGGTAAAATACAATTTTATTTTTTAATAGTCTTTTCTATAACTCAATACATTTTATGTTTCTAGGTCCTTTTAAGACTAGTATGTTGTATGGTTGTACAGGGTGTTTGGACAGCAGCTATTTGTGGACCTACACCAAATTTAGATGATATTGAAATAAATGCTGCTAAAAGTTTTAGAACAGTTATCAATTACTTTCGACCTAATTCTACTAAATTTGAATTAACATCTGGGTAAATTAATAACTATAATAATAAAATATAAAATATGTTACACTTAAAGTGTTAATTCCATTACTTTATTAAATAACGAAGTAGTTAATGAATTATCTAACAATTTTTAGCTGAAGTTTAAAATTATAAATGGGGAAAAACTATTTATTATACTTAAACCGGTTATTCTATACAATTTTAGTTTGATTTTCATTAAAGTACAGAGTACATTTGAATTTAAAATTAATTTTACCTTATTTATTTTAAACTGAATTAATTATAATTACACTATTTTTTTGTGCATGTGTGCAAACTACAAGACTATTATAGCATTTAGAATTGCACAATACTTCTTTTTTCTGTAAATACCTCTTTGTATCACATTTTTTTTTTCATGAAAAATCTTAATTAGTTCCCGCTGCTTGAGCAGTTGCCACAGATCTTAATATATATCTTAATCTTATATTGTCTTTTGAAACAGCTTATACTGTTAACAAATTTTCTAAACATACTATAATTTGGGATTGAGAATATAGTTGTTTTAATACTCCTATAATTTTAATAATAGATTAGTGTCAAACAAATAAATAGCAAACACCTGAGATTATAACATTTTTATTACATTTTGAATCTTAACAATTTTATTGTGAATTTTAATAATGAGACAATAAACGGACAAAATATGTATATAGCATCTATGCAATATATGCAACTAGAGCTCAATTTTGGGGATGCAGAAATTATTCATATATCACAGGCTTGTCAGGGCTATACTTCCACACCCCAAATATCATCTTTAGATTTATAAATTGCAATTAGTAAATAGTAATATTACCATTCTAAAACAACACCTATATTATTAATATAAAATATACTTTTATATAATAACAAAACATTTACATTTTAATTCAGCATACTTTTTCTTGGCTTCAAGCAATATTTACTTTAAATAGTTTTAGTATTTGGTCATTTTAATAAATCTTTTTTGATGTTATGCAAAAATAAATTGGAAAACTTTTGGTGAAGCATGCTTAATCTTAGTCAGTTCTTTATTCACTGCTCTGTCCAAAAACTGTGCTTGTGGGTTGCATAGTTTACTAGAATTATGATTGCAATTTGCATACATTTGGAAATTATTCTCTTTTTATTTTCTATGTCATATACTATAATGTAAAATTAGTTATTGACAACCAACATTTTGACTTTTAATACATCAATCTATACATTTAAAATATCCTATAAAAATAAGTTATTATTTATTAGTATTAAAATTTATTTTCACCTTATAATAGTTGATGAACTCTAGACTTTCATAATAATTAAAACTCATACAATTATCAACTGAATCAGCCATTGACAAGTTTTTAAAATATGCTGAATGTGTTAAAAACTAATATCCGTTATCGTAAAATGGTAAACACAAGTTGCAACTGGTAGACACACTTAATAATCAATTAATGTTATTAATCTTATATAGTAATAGTAATATAACCAATTTTTTAAAAGTAGCTTTTAAGTTTTCATAATATGTCATGAGTGTCATGACTTCTAACCAAAAAAGCTATATATATATTTTTTTTTTTATAAACATCTTATAATTTAAGAACATGAAATTTGTGGTATTTCATTATAATTATTATAGGTTTATTTAAAAAATCAAGAGCTGTTAAATTTGTGCTCAGGGGTGTTAAAAAATTCATTGTACCCTCCTAGTTGCATCAATAAATACTTGTACAATAATAACCTTATAAAACGGTAAATGTACATGAACATTGCCATCAGTCATCAGTCATCACCAATGACATCTACAAGAATGTCTGTATTATCTTCTTACCTGATTTATTGTTATTTTGAATAATAAAATAACAATATATTTTACACTTACAAATTTTAACACATAATAATGTGAATAATTGAAATATATGAAATAATTAGTTAAAGCAACATTACTTTCATATTTTAGTTATTTTATAACCTAATTGATTCAATACGTTAACTGTAACATATGTATTTTAATTAATATATAGACCATTTTAAAAACATTTATGAATGTAAGTTTATTTATGTTTATTATATTTCAGATATATCATAGTGAATACAAACTTGTTCAAATTCACGCAAAATTATTATTTAAGTACTGATGTACAAAGAGGAATTGTACAGTTTTATAATAAAATTGCATCACGTCTTATGAATGGTATTAGTTTTGTATTTTTTGAATATGTTCAATTATTCTTTTATGTGATTTTTTTTTTTTTTAATTTGTTTAAATATTGTAATTATCATATTCAGATAATCTAATGGGAAGTGAAGTCTCATGTATGGGAAAAAATTATAACTTTTATGCTATAAGTTCAAATGGTATCATGTTATGTTTAGCATATCCAAGTAAACATAATATGGTTACAATCAAGTAAATATATTTTAAATTATTAGTAATTAATAATTATTCTGTTTTCAAATAATCAAGTCAAGTATTTAAGTATTTTGAATTTATTCATAAATCTATTTATAGCTTAGATAGTTAAATTCTCTGAATGATAATTGACTATTAGTTCTCTAATGGTTAATATTTTATCATTATTTATTCTTTATAATACATATTTTATTTAATCATTTCATGATTTCTATATCTTGTTTTCTGTTATTTATATTATCTTTGTTATTAAGTAAAATATATCATAATATATATATACATATATATATATATTTTTTTTTTTTATAGATACTATGCAAAACAAGCTTTTCAACAACTTTTATCTGATATTAACAGTTAAATAAGTATTATTTTATACACAATATGTTCCACATTATATGTATAATTTAATTTTAATTAATTTAATTTTTAAATATAATCCGTCCAAACTGTTTTTATGTGATTTTAAATTAAATGTTTATTTTTTTTTAATTTTATAACTTAAAATTAAAACAACATTATTTTATTGTAAATAATTGTGTATTTTATTCTAAACAAAATATATGTGTATTTACTTTACATTATTATTTTTCAATGATATTCAATAGTCTAACTATAAGGACCCCAGCAACATT